GTTCATAGACTATATGAGATGTATTAGGACGGAGTATCTAAAGAAGATCTGAAGATCTGAAGAATGTGGTTGAACCACTGTCCTGGCATTTCCTGAAAAACGGCTAACATCATAAATAGGCAGAAGTGGAACAACTTAAAATATTTGAAGTAGTGTCACCGACGGAGAAAAGCAAACATTTCTAGTGCAGTTAAATCCAATATTCTATATAGGTCCTTGACTTATAATAGGTTGCTTAGTTACGGTGGACCTTCCTGGTTCTGAAGTTCTATGTCGCTTGGCAATATTTAGCCATCTGCAGCATCGCGCAATCACATAACTGCTGTTAATGATGGCTTTGCTGAAACCTGGTTTTTATTTCCAGTTTTCAGCAAAATTTACCCATCGTGGTTCTCTTAATCTTAATCATTGATTCACTTAACAACTACAGAGGGCACTTAATGATGGTGGTGGTCGCTGCCATATTTGCTTAATGATCACCTCAGAAAAGGTAGTACAATTTAGTGGGTCATGTGGGGGACCCAATTTATGACAATCATGACTTATGATGGGCCGGTTCCATTATGGCCGTACGTTGAGGACTACTTGTAGCTAGAAGTCTTAAATTCCTAATGTCCATAATAATTACTCTGCTAGAACTACAGAATTTCAGAATTCGGAGTAAACGTTGTTCTAAGTACATGTATACTTAGTAAATGTTGGAGATCAAACACACTTTCTAAACGAGAACCTGGCATGAAAATATTTGTTTTGAAATCATGGTTTAGAAGTATGAAAAATAGATCCTTCATCATTCTCCATGATGTTCTTTACTTAGGGCAGGAGTGGGTTCTACTTACCTTTGCTACCAGTTTGCACCATACATGCGCTTCTGCGCATGCGCAGATCACCTATGATGACGTTGGGGTCAATGGGCGGAGCCTCCCACCGGTTCTTGTGAACCGGTCCGAACCAGAGGCAATTCACCACTGATTTAGGGGTACTATTTTTCCTGCTCACTATAGATGGTTTCACCTCCCGAAACAGAGAAAATGTTCTTCGAATGTTTTCAGTTTTCTTCAGTATAAGAAACCAATCAAATTTAAAGAATATTTGCTCAGGGGTCCTTGGTACTGTCTGAGTTTGGATGTTTTCTTTCTTTTCTAGGTTGTTGTTATTGTTAGTTGCAAAGTCATGTCTGACCCATTGCGACCCCATGGACGACGTTCCTCCAGGCCTTCCTGTCCTCTATCATCCTCTGGAGTCCATTTAAGCTCACGCCGACTGTTTCAGTGACTCCATCCAGCCACCTCATTCTCTTCAGTCCCCTTCTTCTTTTGCCCTCTTTTGCCATCGTTCCCAGCATTAGGCTCTTCTCTAGTGAGTCCATCCTTCTCATTAGGTGGCCAAAGTATTTTGAGTTTCACTTTCAGGATCTGGCCTTCTAAAGAGCAGTCAGGGTTGATCTCCTCTAGGACTAACCGGTTTGATCACCTTGAAGTCCAAGGGACTCGCAGGAGTTTTCTCCAGCACCAGAGTTCAAAGGCCTCGATTCTTTGGCGCTCAGCCTTTCTTATGGTCCAACTTTCACAGCCATAAATTGCAACTGGGAAAACCATAGCCTTGACTATACACACTTTTGTTGGCAGGGTGATGTCTCTGCTTTTTAGTATTCTGTCTAGATTTGCCATAGCTTTCCTCCCAGGATCAAGCGTCTTTTAATTTCTTGGCTGCAGTCCCCATCTGTGGTGACCTTGGAACCCAGGAAAATAAAATCTGTCACTACCTCCATTTCTTTCCCATCTATTTGCCAGGAATTGAGAGGGCTGGATGCCATGATCTTAGATTTCTCAGAGAGCACCAAGGACTTCCCACCAGATTTTCTGTCGCATTTTCTGTCATATTTTTTCCCCCAATTAATCATGCACCACACAACTCTTGTTAGCTTCTGTTATCCAGCTGTTAACTCACTACTCCGTCTTGTTTTTATACTGAGCCAGACTTGGCACAAAAACCATGAAATGAATACAGTAGACCAGGTTGGCAATTCAGCATGAAACACAGCTTAAGATAACTGGCCAACCTTTGGCTCTGCCATAGGGTTGCACATCAGCCTGGAAAAGGATTCTGAATCCTTTAGCCTTTAAAGGATGTTAATATAATCGATGTGGAATTAAAAAAAAAGAGACACAATAACGCTGCAGCAGACATGGAGAAAGATTGTTGTTTATTCATTGTCATCCCATCAGCAGGGCAGAATAATGTCTGATTTGTGTCAATGTAGATCAAGGGATGGTAGTAGAAGTCAGAGATTAGCCAGGACAGGCCCTGTGTAAGGGCAACCCATCCATCTTCATGGCTTTCTGATTATAGAAACAAGGAGACCATGGAGGCAGAAAGGCAGCAGGGAGGGGGACTCCAATGTCAGATGCCGGTCAGAGTTTGACTTTGGAGGGTGAAATCCAATTAACCTTCTTGAAACTGATGTAATGTGTACAGTGAGCGATGCCCTAAAGAGCCAGTAGGAAACATTATGAATGAAGGGAAAATTGATCACGTGGCATGGATGAAAATGCAAATGACATGTACAAATTCGAACAAAGAGAACATGCAAGGGAGGGGTAGGGAAAGGCAACGAGAAATAAATGCCTGAAAAAGAATATCTTTTTAGGAAGAATTTCTTAGGCTTGTCTCAATGGGAGAAAGACTCTGAAGGACAGAGCTAAGCTCCACAGTGGAAAATGGAATGAGTGAAATAAATTCTTGACTCTTGACAAGTGGGATGGAGGACATCTAGAAATGAGACGTAAAGTATTCCTTTGCTGTTATATGGTGTCTAATTTGGGACCACTCTCAGTTGCTGTTGCCTTCTTGGCTTGGTTAATGGGAATTGTAGTTTCTCATCACTTGTAGATGTCACCAGGGAGACGAGCTAAGATTGCGGGATGGTCTGAGTATTTCAGGCCAGTTATTAATCCTCATAAAAGTCAGCTCTCAATTCTGGATTGCTGAAATAACTGATTTTGCTTCTCTTTCTTCTGATTGAACATGATCCCACTCATCTCTATTTACCTCCTTATGCTTTCACTGAGGTTCCTTCTCAGACTGCATACAAAACCGTAGAGCCCTTGGTGCTCTCTAACCTCACTCGTTTCTTGGAGACATTTCATTCCTCAACTAGTAACATCATCAGTGCTACTAGTTGGGTAATGAAATGTCTACAAGAAAATAACCAAGTTCAGAGAGCAACGAAGACCCCACAGTTCAGCCCTGAGTACAAATATTCTATTTTATTCTCTGCTTGAGAAAATGTGCCTTTGGTTTGTTTGTTTAAATCACAGAATGGTGATTTAATTGACTGGAAAGTTTTGCATTTTGCCAATTCTGTATTTAAGCAAAGGCAAAACTGAAACAGATCACATATGGAATTTAATCCATGAAGAGCTGTCGTCCATTCAGTGTCCTATTCTTTAAAAAACCAGAAGTCCCAAAGCTGCTCAGGGATATCTACAGTGTGAAGGTCAAAATCTGTAAAGTGGTGGGCAAGAGGTTGTGATTAATATTCCCCTACCCTCCCCCTTTGAACATGGGGGCAGGGCCTGGATCAGTTTGATTTCAGATTTTGTCCCATATCCTATGGGACCATTGGAGCCAGCATCTTCACAGGTTAAATTGTGAATATCAAATGCTCTTACAATCTTCCCCAAGATGGAGTGGTATCTATAATCTTACCTCTCTCATCCAACATTTATCAATAATCTATCTCTGTATCTCTCTCTCTCTCTAATCTATCTATCTATCTATCTATCTATCTATCTATCTATCTATCTATCCTATCATCTATCTATCTGTCTGTATCTATCTGTATCATATCTATCATATCTCTATTTAACTTTCTATCTCTCTCTATCATCTATCTATCTATCTATCTATCATCTATCTATCTGTATCATATCTATCATATCTATCTCTATTTAACTTTCTCTCTCTATCATCTATATATCTATGTATCTATGTATCTATGTATCTATGTATCTATCTATCTATCTATCTATCTATCTATCTATCTATCTATCTATCTACTGTGTTTCCCCCAAAATAAGACCCTGTCTTATATTTTTTTGAACCCTGAAATAAACGTTTGGCCTTATTGCCATGTGCTCAAAAGCCCGATTGGGCTTATTATCAGGGGATGTCTTATTTTTGGGGAAAACAGGATATCTATCATCTATCTATCTATCTATCTATCTATCTATCTATCTATCTATCTATCATCTATCTATCTATATCTATCTATCATATCTATCATATCTCTATCTCTATCTCTCTCTATCATCTATCTATCTATATCTATCATCTATCTATCTATCTATCATATCTATCTGTATCATATCTATCATATCTCTCTATTTAACTTTCTCTCTCTCTCTCTATCATCTATATGTCTATGTATCTATGTATCTATGTATCTATGTATCTATGTATCTATGTATCTATGTATCTATGTATCTATCTATCTATCTATCTATCTATCTATCTATCTATCTATCTATCTATCTATCTATCTACTGTGTTTCCCCCAAAATAAGACCCTGTCTTATATTTTTTTGAACCCTGAAATAAACGTTTGGCCTTATTGCCATGTGTCAAAAGCCCGATTGGGCTTATTATCAGGGGATGTCTTATTTTGGGGGAAACAGGATATCTATCTATCTATCTATCTATCTATCTATCTATCTATCTATCTATCTATCTATCTATCTATCATTATCTCTCTCTCCCTCTCTCCCTCCCTACCCCTCTCTCATCTATTTTAAAGAATAACTTTTTAAAAATGTGCATTGATCATTTACCCATGCAATTCCATGTGTATCTCAGTCTTTCCCAAGCAAAGCTGTCTGAAGAATTCTGGGAGTTGAAATCTACAAGTCTTAAAGTTGCTAAGGTTGGAGACCCCTGAATTAGATTACACCTACTTTTACAGTCACGTAATAGTTAAGAAAGAGTAACCACAACAACCAGAAGGTAAAATAATGCTTTATTTCATGGATCAACAAACACTATTGTGCCACACCAGGCTTCTTCTTTACAAAATTTTATAAACAGAGCAAGGGGTCACCTCCTCTGGAGCAAGATCAGCTCAGGCATCCTGGCCTATAAGGTTAGCGAAACCTGGACCCGTACCATTGACATGGTCTATTTGGCATTTGGCTGAAGGAATGGATTATTCTGCAGTAGCTTTCTATATGACTCTTGATGCAGAGTAAACTATGAAAGGGGGGAAAAAATAATCAACGAGATTCCTGATTCCCCCCTCCCCCTTTGCCTTGGGGTTTGGTTTACTGGTATATCTCCCATGAGGATCTAATTGCCACCAACAGCTAACAATTTCAACCTAAAATAAAGCAGAGGCAGAAAAAAAAAGCTGGGTGAAGTAGATCACCAATTCTCCTGCTGTCTTGGATGTGTGTTCTCTCAACAATACATGTAAAAGATGCAGAAACCTGCACTGACATTCAAGCTGTCAAAAACAATAAAAAAAAGGAGCCACAGAGTTAATTTAGTCTGAATGAACACCTCTAAGGGGCCCTAGTAAGCAAACAAAGCTTCTCACATGCATGTAGAACACAAGACGTTAAGAGTAAGAATAATAATCCAAGATGCCAGAGCAGAAGGGAACTTGACAAATCTTCGACTTTACATTCCTTTTATACACAACAAAATGAAGTCTACAATATTCATATTAGTTGTACATTGGGTCAGAATAATTTACAGGGAGGGACAGTAGCAAAGCAAAAGAAAAGAGAAGGAGGGGGAGGAGAAGGAGAGGAATTCAAGGAGTAAAAATATGGACTGTTTAATCTTGTCTCCTCTGAACTCGAAGAAAGAAATGACTGTGTTCAAAATTCCAGGAAAAAAAAAATCAAAGGAAAAAAAAGAGAGGCAAACCTGCAATGCCCCAACCCAGATTTTTATCATTACATTAACACAACGTACAGATAAGGCAGTGTGTTAGGACTAATTAAAAGCTGTGTAATATTATGAAGGTAACAGTATAAATGACAGAAGCTGTAGCTATTGATAAAAGCATGAGAAGCAGTTCAAGAGCAGCAATTCCCATTTCCATGAAAGCTGTCCACTTGCTGATACAAGACACTCCAAGCACGATTAAGACATGATCTTTTGAGACTAACTTCTCACATTTTCTCAATCCTGCCAATCCGCGGCAATAGGGACTAGTGACTTGGGGATATTGTAGGATGACAACCAGCCATGCAGCTAACCTTGTCCCTCTAAAAAAGGACTTTTTAAAGAAAGCATAAGACAAAATATTGGTTAATATTGGACAATTCAAATCCATAAAGCTAAATTGCTGTTGGGAGCGTTAAAGAAACAAACGGGAAGAGTTCCAGAATATCTAAAAAAAATAATAATCTTAAACTGGAACTCCTGTGGCTCTCTAAGCTTTAAAGAGGTTTTTCTTAAAGCCAGAGCACGTTGCAGCAACAAAGTTTTAGTAGAGCAAGGCTGAAGTGAAAGGGGGCAACAGCTAAAAACTATATATAGAGAAATGCCTGTACAGTGCAAGGTTAGTCAAGCTACAGCGGTGCTTTATACAAAGAAAACGCCTGTATAACTGAGCATTTCTGCAGCAATGCCTAATTTCTTGGAAATGCAGAAGACGACAGGTAAACAACACACAATTCAGTACCCTCGAAAAATAATTGTGCTATAATCTTTATTCCATGGGTGGTTCATTTTATAGGAAACAATGAGATGCTAAATAACACAGACAGAGGGTGGGTTTTATATTCATTTCTGGGACTTGCATTTGAGCAATGCAAAGGGTTGCCTTGTGGGTGAATTTGCCTTCAGAGTTCAGTTTCCCAGTTGAGACTCTTTAATCAGAAATCACACCGCGGCCATTTTGTTCATAGGGATCGGTTCTCAACAGCAGCACCTGCTGAGTTCCTCATGCTTAAATATTTTTCCGTTTGAGAAGGCAGGAGCTCCGATACCAGCACCAGGACTGCTATTCCGTTTTCGCTTTTCTTAAATACATGCTCACATAACACTCCTTTCGTCAGGGAAGGGAAATCGGGAGGATTTAGTTGCATATCTTTTTTTTTTTTTTTTTTTTTGTGGAGAAGTCGCCTTGTGCTTCTTAGCACAAACCCAGAAAGTTAATCTTCATCCTCGTCTTCTTTCGTGGAAATCACTGGGGCTTTGTCTGGGATTTTGAAACATTCCACAAAGAAATTGACAATGGACTTGTACAAATGCTGCTCCAGGGTTGGGCTGTTGAAGTAGTGACCTTCGTCGGGGTAGATCTGCCAAGGAAAATGTCATGGTTGAGATGGATCTCATATCTTGGGGGGAGCGGGGGGGCTAGTGTCTTCAAAGCCAGGGCGTCCCCCAACAAACAAAATGGCTTCCACAGCCATGTGATTGAAGCCCCGCCCCTTGTTTACATGCCACATGCATAATAAAAAGGGGTGGGATTTCAATCACACAATAGAGGCTCTCAACTTGATTTTTTGGGGGTTTTCATCTGAATGTCCCTGATCAAAGCCTGAGGATCATCAATTAATCACAACTATGAGTTGAGATGGGATATGTAGAACAAGGCAGGCTTATATACAAGTAGTCCTCGACTTACAACCATTCGTTTAGTGACTGTTTGAGGTTACAGTGGCACTGAAAAATTAGGACTGTTTTTCACACGACTGTTGCAACAAATTTGTGGTCACGTGATCAAAATTCAGATGGTTGGGACCTGGCTCATATTTATGATGATTGGAGTAGCCCAAGATCATGTGATCCCCTTTTGTGACCTTCTGACAAGCAAAGTCAATGGGAAAGCCTGATTCACTTAACAACCATGTTACTAGCTCAACAACTGAAGTGATTCACTTAACAACTGTGGCAAGAAAAGGTTGTAAAATGGGCCAAAACTTACTTAACAACTCCCCTGCTTAGAAATGGACATTTTGGGCTCAGTTGTGGTTATAAATTGAGGACTACCTGTATTTCAAATACAGTTTTGAGGATTTAAATCGAAACTAACAAAATTTCTAAGTTTGCTGTCAAGCACAAAAGTTAGGTTCTGTTGTTCAGGATGAAAATAGAAGGGAAGGAGATTTTCTTTTGTAAAACAAACATACGATTTTCTTTTTTTTAACTTAAACATAGTAGTCTTTTTAAAATCATCTTGCTTTTGCTTACTTTTTCTATTTTTTTTGGCATGCAAGTATTTTATATACTTTGTATTCTGAAATATGTTAAAAATGAGCAATTTGTAACATATTTCTTATTAATACATTCTTTGGAATGTGTTATTTAAATAAATTCTCCCTTCCCTCCCTAAATTCTTTTATGTTGTTTTCTTTTAATAAAAGCATATGATGAAATTCCCAAGATAACAGTGCTTAGTACTGTAGTTTGGGCGGATAATTAGAGAAAACCAAGATCCACGGGAGAAGAGGCGAAAAACACCACCAAGATGGCATAGTAGCAAGCTTCATTTTGACATACCCAACTGCATGGAGGCCATACTCAGTTCTTAAGATATACATATATTGTGCCTTTATTACTAGGCCAGTTGGTCTAGTGGTGAGTATTACCACTAACCACTAGACCCGTGATGGCGAACCTATGGCATGGGTGCCATAGGTGGCACCGGAGCCGTATCAGTGGGCACGCGAGTGTTGCTGTAGCTCAGCTCCAGCGCGCATGTGTGCGCCAGCCAGCTGATTTTTGGGCCTTTCAGTCCTACCAGAAGTTGGGAAATGGGCTTTTTCTGGCCTCCAGAGGGCCTCCGGGGGAGTGGGGAAGGCCGTTTTCGCCCTCCCCAGGCTCCTAGAAAACCTCTGGAGCCTGGGGAGGGTGAAAAACAGGCCTACCGGGCCCACTGTGCCATCATGTGCTAAAAGTGGGAGGGGGTGCATGCGGAGGGGTGGGGCACATTGAATTATGGGTGTGGGCATACATGTGGGTTACCTCGCCGTGCTCCCCCCGCTTTTGGTACGTGACGGCAAAAAGCTTAGCCATCACTGCACTAGACCAAACTGGTTTTAAAATCCTGCGACTATAAACAACATACATACATACATGCATACATACATAAACACAGAGAGAGAGAGAGAGGGAGAGGCAGGGAGGGAGAGAAAGAGAGAGAGAGAGACTACGTTTGTTTTAAAAAAAAGTGATTATGTGACAGCACGGTACCTGCAAACTGTAATTAGCTTTTGTCCTAATTAGATGAGTAATGAACTCTGCAGTGTGCTGGAAGTGAATTTTCTCTGTAAAATAGATTAAGGTAATTAAGTGAAAGGAAGTAAATAATTGAATTACCAAAAACCCCCGCAAAACAAAATATTTATTGTGAGTAAAATAAAGCTTTTATTTCGCTTTATTTGAGTGGGGAGTGTCTATAGGCTTGGTTCATATAATCTTACCATCAGCTGTTGCATGGATGATCAAAAAGTTTTGGTCTTTCACGGATGTTACTCGATGAGAGAGTTTAGTAATCTGAGAAGAGTGAAAAAAACAATTTTCAACATTATAGACACTTTAACAATCACCACAATCAACACAGCACTTATAACAGAGTATTATTGTGCATTTTGTTTTGTGTAGTACCCCCTTTTTTCTGATCTGTATGCCACCTTTGTGGTACTTATAGAAAGCAGGATCTATTTTATGAAACTATTACATGGTTATTTCCACAAAAAAATAAATAAAAAAAATTAGCTGCTGACACAGTTCTACCGAGGAATTATTGAGTCTGTCATTTGTGCCTCTATAACTGTCTGGTTTGGTACAGCAACCAAACAGGACAGGTGCAAACTTCAACGGATAATTAGGACTGCAGAAAAAAACAATTGCAACCAGCTTGCCTTCCATTGAGAACCTATATACTGCAAGGACCAGAAAGAGGGCTGAGAAAGTATCTACAGACCCCTCACATCCTGGACATAAACTGCTTCAACTTCTCTTCTCTGGATGGTGTTATAGGACGTTGCATGCCAAAACAATTAGACACAGAGATAGTTTTAAACCCCCCCCCCCCAATGCCATCCCTCTGCTAAACACTTAATTCCCACAGCACTGTCTAATCTCTAAAGATATTTACCCAGGTAGTACAGTATAGCTGTATTATTGTTATTATTATCCTTATCTTCTTTGCTACCTCCTTTTACTGGTATCATTATTATGATTATTATTACTCTATTGCTTTGTATGTGCATTGAGAGCTTCTGCACTGGAAACAAATTCCTTGTGTGTCTAATCGCACTTTGCCAACAAAACATTGTATTGTACTGTACTATACTGTACTCTACTATGTTATATTCTATTCTACTCTGTTCTGTTCTACTCTATTCTATTCTACTCTATCATCTTTCTATTCTATTCCCCCTTTTGATGCTTTTAGTATCATCTTTTTAATGAAAATATTTATTCTTGTCTTTAAATTAATAAATTATATCAAGAAAAATAAAGATTTTTTTTTAAAAAAAAGAAATAACATTTGGAAACCCCTTCCTTAATATTATACTTTCATATTATTATTTTTGTTGTTGTTGTTGTTGTCGTGATTTCAATACGTTGTGATTTTGCACTTTAAGATATTATATCTTAAATAAACTAGAAGGCAGTTTGAAGAGAGCTGGTTAATCATTGCAATAAACTAATTTATTTTAGGTTTTGTCATTTGTTTCTTGATGTATATTTTAACTCCTCAAATAATCAAATACAAGATCATATTTTGATCTGAAGAAAAGCTTATAAAATAAATAAATAAAGAATGCATTCTAACTACTGCCATCCCCATTGTCTGCTTGTAAATAGCATTGTGCTTAATAAATTAATATTTATTAAATTACTAAGTAAATAAATCACAGTTAACCTGATTTACCTCATATATCTTATTATTGTCGAACCCTTGTAATCCCAAGTATCTTTCTGAAAAAGCTGAAGCTGAGGGAAGAAAAGAAAAGATATGAAATTTAAATTCAAACTACTGATACTAAACTTGGATGGCATTTTCTGTTGTCGGATCTTTGCCTCACAGGTTGAAAATTATACATATCTGGACAAATTATAATGCTAAAAATACTCCATAGGCTGGATATTTAAGCAATTTTCATCAATTCCAGTTTTCTGGAATACGGCACATGACTAGGGAAGTCTCATCCTAGAGAGATGGTCTTGGCATTTTTGGCCTCAATTTTTTTTCAAGGTTTTCCATTTTTTCTTTAGTTATTTTTATTTGCTACATCATCTCAATATCTTGCAGCCATTCCTGGTGGATTGAGCAAGAGACTCGGACTTCCAGAACTGTTTTGGAAGTGAATAAAGAAATCTGGGTGTTGAAGTACAACACATCCAGAAGGTGACAGAACGAGAGAAGGTTTTAAACAAAAGAATAAAGTTAAACAACAATTAAGAAAGTTGTTGCACTGGTTTAGTGTTAGACCCTTCCTTCCTTCATCCGGTCCTTCCTTCCCTCCTTCCTTCCTTCCTTCCTCTGCCCAGTCCTTCCTTCCATTGCCCTGTCTTTCCTTCCTTCCTTCCTTTGCCCTGTCCTTCCTTCCTTCCTTCCTTCCTTCCTTCCTTCCTTCCTTCCTTCCACCCAGTCCTTCTTTCCTTCCTTTGCCCTGTCCTTCCTTCCTTCCGTTGCCCTGACTTTCCTTCCTTCCTTCCTTCCTTCCGTTGCCCTGGCCTTCCTTCCTTCCGTTGCCCTGGCCTTCCTTCCTTCCTTCAACCAGTCCTTCCTTCCTTCCTTCCTTCCTTCCTTCCTTCCTTCCTTCCTTCCTTCCTTCGCCCTGTCTTTCCTTCCTTCCATTGCCCTGTCCTTCCTTCCTTCCTTCCGTTGCCCTGGCCTTCCTTCCTTCCTTCAACCAGTCCTTTCTTCCTTCCTTCCTTCCTTCCTTCCTTCCTTCCTTCCTTCCTTCGCCCTGTCTTTCCTTCCTTCCATTGCCCTGTCCTTCCTTCCTTCCTTCCTTCCGTTGCCCTGACCTTCCTTCCTTCGCCTAGTCCTTCCTTCTTTCCTTCCTTCCTTCCTTCCTTCCTTCCTTCCTTCGCCCTGTCTTTCCTTCCTTCCATTGCCCTGTCCTTCCTTCTTTCCTTCCTTCCGTTGCCCTGACCTTCCTTCCTTCCTTCGCCCAGTCCTTCCTTCCTTCCTTCCTTCCTTCCTTCCTTCCTTCCTTCCTTCGCCCTGTCCTTCCTTCCTTCCTTCCTTCCTTCCTTCCTTCCTTCCTCCTTCCTTCCTTCCTTCCTTCCTTCCTTCCTTCCTTCCTTCCTTCCAATAAGGCAAGACATTCTCCACCAAGCCCAACAAAAAGGCGGGGCTTCTCATCAGCAGAGCTGGAAAAACATGACCACTAATTCAGTATCAAAGCAGACTGTTCATGAAAAAAACACCATGAAGATTTGAGCCAGATTTTTTCTTCCTAACACAGGATATTATCTTTCTGGAATGTAAAAGGTTTGCTTCAAATGTCTTTATCTTGTACTCCGTTCACTCAGCACTGCAAGCTGTTCAAAGCTGGCCAGATATGTAAGGCAGGCAGAGGAATACTTATGGCTGCCTTTTAATGTTCCAGTCAATTTCCTTATTTAGCCTCCGCATCACATTCTTTTTCTCAGCCAGAAGCCGCCACCTTGACATTTCACAGGCCTGGCCTGCATATTTTAATATTAATGCTTGCAACCTAAAAGGAGTTCAAACTCGCTTTAGGCAGAAGTATAATAAGATTCAATGCCATGCAATGAAAAACCTGCTTTTATTCCTATCAGCCCAACGAGATCACTGTTTACCATACAATCTGAAGTCTGACAATGGGGAAAGAGCTGCGCCACACGAAAAGGTTGGCTCTTTATTTTCTTCTCCAGAAAAGTGGATGTATGAACTCAAGTAGCCACCATAATCCTGAGAGGCAAAGAGAAGAGGAAAGCAGATGAAAGGGGGTACGTGCGGAGGGAAAATAATAATCAAACAACTCTGAATTTCCATGGAGCTCCGGTTTGCCCCTTTTCAAATACTTAAGAAGTGACAATGTCTTTAGTTAAATCATCTCCAGTACCAAAATCTCAAGAAGGCAGTACAGATAGTGCTTGACATATGACTGCAATGAAGCCTGCTCATTACCGTCGTATGTTGGGACAGCTGGGATTCGAGTCGGTCACGCAACTGACCTGATTTTATGACTTTTTTTTTTTGTTGCAACAAATTAAATGAGTGAGACAGTCGTAAAATGAATGCTACAGCCATTAAGTGAATTGATTGTTCACTGTGGCTCGGTTTCGATAAGAATTGGAATTAACTTCTGGTTCGTGGTCATGTGACTATGGGATGCTGTGAATGGCCACAAATGTGGCCACGATGCTGAGTGGCTGCCCGATGATGTGACTGTGGGAGTGGACCTGACCATCGGAACTGATCGAAACTCTCTTTTCCCAAGTAGGTTGCTAAGCAGTCGGTTGTAACTCAAGGACCTTCTTTACAGACTTCACCTCCATGTTCTCATCAGCTTCTTTTTCATTTGGGGGGGTGCTGCTTCTATCCTATCCAAGGGGCTGTGGTGGCTGGCTGGGGGCTGTAGAAAACTCCAATCAGCTTGGCTTCCAGACTTTGGACCAGCCGCTGCGGAAGGTAAGCCGTCCAAATAGAGGCGGTGGTGGGGGAGGAAGCAGGGCTAGGGCCGGGGCCGCTAAAGGAGGGGAAACGGGGGCGACTGGCGAAGGGAGGGCGGGGGTAGATAGGTGGAAATTCCAAAAAAATTCCTACCTTTTCCTGTGGGCGTGGCTAGGTGGGGGGTGTCATGTGACTGAGTGGGCATGAGTGACATCAAGTTGGCCACACCCACTCAGTTACATGCCCCCCACTAGCCATGCCCACCAAACCGGTAGTGAAAATTTTTGAAATCCGCCACTGCCCCCAACCTTCTAACCGACATCACCACAATGACTCGCAGAATAAACCTTAAGCATAGCCCAGCAAATTGCAGATCAAACTCCTGGAGGAATAGCAGTGTTTCAAGGACACTCACCCTCCCAAACACAGCAACTCGAGTCTTATCAATAAATGCCTTTTCCAGCATTGCCCTGGAAAAAAACAAACAAAGAAGATATGATTATGTTCACGCTAACTCCTGTTAACTTTAGCAAGGCCCAGCATTGTCTTGATAGGTAGAAGTACAAATTGCAAAAGGGAGAAATTACATTTGAACTCCTTTTGATTCAATGCTCAGATTGCCTTTCTCCAAAATTTACAAATAATTTAGTGTTTTAAAATAAATCATTGCAAGAACGCTGAGTATACAACTAGTGACTGAATTCAATTTCAGTGAGTTAAGGTCATTCACCGAACAGCGTCTGTTTGATCTTTTTCTTGAGCAGTGCCCAGTCTTCTTTTAATGTCATGCAAGAGTTTAGTCCCTTGAAATCCACTTCCACGCCCATCAAACTTCATCACGATGGCACTGTGGGAGCTGACCATGACACTTTCCCAGTTCACTTCAAACTTTTCTGTTACGCTCTGGGTGCCAGGAGTCCCATCCCTGAAACAGAAAAAGAACAAGAACAACGTAGTGGGTGGCTGGGAGAAAGGCTTGGAGGACCAGGAAAAACACCAGGGGGAAAAAAGGTGGGGGAGAATATGCTAATGGCGACAAACAGGCTCTGCAGGCAAAGTTCCTGATGTATATGAAAAGCATGAAAAAATGCTCTGTCTGTTTCAGAGTCAGTTTGGTCTAGTGCAGGAGTGTCAAACTCAGGGGTGCTTAGATCTGGCCCACAGGCCCGCCCTGGAAACAGTGGAAGACCAGCCCATGGTGCCTCTGCTAGCGAAAACAGAGCCCAGGTAGGCCATGAGCTCCATTTTTACTGGCAGAGGGCTGCAGGAGGCCATCATGGCCAAAAACGGAGCCCATGCGGGCCACACACAGCCTCCCCGAGCTCTGTTTTCGCTAGCAGAGGGTTGCAGGAGGCCATCACAGCCAAAAATGGAGCCTTGACGAGTGACATTGAGCTGGCCATGCTCAACTTGCCCCCTGAGGTCAAACATAACATAACATAAAATCTTTTAATTGGGGAATTTTATGGGTAAGGGGTTTTAAATTGGAGAAGCCAAAGATAATTTAATTTCGTTTTAATATATTTTAATATTTGTATTGTGTGTTTTTAATTTTGGCTGTTCACCGCCCCGAGTCCTTCGGGAGAGGGGGCGGTATAAAAATTAATTAATTAATTAATTAATTAAATAAATAAATAAATAACCCTGATACAGCCTTCAGTGAAATCGAGTTTGACACCCCTGGTCTAGTGGTTAAGATACCAGGCTAGAAACTGAGAGACTGGGGGACTGTGAGTTCCAGTCCCACCCTTAGCAGCTAGGTAATCTTGGGCCAATCACCAGGAGACTGTGAGTTCTAGTCCTGTCTTAGCCATGAAAGTCAGCTAAGTGGCTTTGGGCTAGTTTCCAAAGATGGTGATATACTACTAGGTGGTGAGTTCTAGTCCTGCCTTAGTGATGAAAGCGGGCCGGGTGACTTTGGCCAATCACCAGGAGACTGTGAGTTCTAGTCCTGTCTTAGGCATGAAAGCCGGCTGGTGTTGTGGCCCCGCCCTCTGAGCCTGTCCCATCGGAGGAAGAAAGCTCCGAGCATGAGGAAGAGGAGTCAGCCAGGCCTCCCTCTCCAGGCCCCTCCCCTCTGGCATTGTCTCAGGTGCCGGCCGAGGGAGAGGAGAGTAGCAGGGAGACAGGTGGCTCGGATTAGAGTGACGAAGAAACATCATTCCTGGACGCACGCCTCCGAAGGCATGATAAACGATTGCAGCAGTTTAGGAGGCATGCTAGGGATTAGAACTGAGTCACTGGACCACACCCCAGAGACTATATAATAGAGGGTAGTGGTCAGTGATCCTTGTGACAAACAAAACTAACCTTGGATAGTCACTAAAGCCTCGTTTGGAACTGCGGAGAGAAATAATTATTGTTGTCGGACATTTGGAAGCTGAGTATTTTATCTGTCTGTTTTTCTGTGAAAATAAAGGCACTTGGCAGACGGCGTGTCTATCGCTGCCAAGTCGGAGATAAAGAAACTGGGTGCGTTCCAAAGTGTTTCCTTAACCCTCGGCTGGCTGTGTTTGTGTGTGTGTGTGGACGGGGACAGATCATCTGGTAACTCCAGCCCAACTCACCTCACAGGGTTGTTGTAGGGAAAATAAAGCAAGTAAGTGTATTAGGTATATTTTCTGCCTTGAGTTATTTATAAAAATTATAAAGGTGAAATATGGATGGATGGATATAGATGGAATATAAGATTTCTAACAAATAGGAAGCAGTAAGTGAAGTAGGGAAAATCACATCAAACATCCGTTCAATTAGCACAAGAACCCTGCAGGGCTCTGTGCTCTCGCCATTATTCTTCTCTCTATATACCAAAGACTGTATCTCAAAGGATCCCTCTGTTAAAGTACTGAAGTTTGCAGATGATACAACAATCATTAGTCTCATTTGAGATAATGATGAATCTGCATATAGACAAGAGGTAGATCAACTGACCCTGTGGTGCAACCAGAACAATCTGGAACTGAACACACTTAAAACTGTAGAGATGATAACAGATTTTAGAAGAAGTTCTCCTATTCTTGTACATCTTACAATATTTGGCAACACAGAATCCAACAGTAGAGACCTTCAAGTTTCTAGGTTTTATTTGTTGTGACCTTGACTTCCTGAGTCATTAAAACACACGAGTAGTCCCAAAACATTACAACATTTTATTGCAACAGCTGTGAATTACGTTCATTCACAGCTGAGTCCCAATTAGTTGCAAAAAGTCCTTCGGGAGAAGTCCTTTGGGATAATCACCAACCTTTATCTCATTTGACATGCTGCCAAAGACCTACTTGGCAAAGCCACATGGAGTCCAGAATCAAACAGAGATGCCGACTGGGAACAGAATTAACAATGTTGCTTTCCTGCAAAGGGCCCACGTGTCTTTGCTCCTCTTTTAAGCCTTCTGGGAGGGGCCAATCATCTCCAGGCCTTACTCCCGAGTCGTCCCTTTTGTTTTAACTGTTCTTGACTTCTGGCAGCTCTGCGCATGCATGCACTAGGAACAGGTACCTCCTGTTCTTCTGCCTCTCTGATGTCCGATTCTGGAGGCTCTGGAATCAGCACAAAACTCTCAGATGGTCCTGGCCCATCTCTGTCTCCGATGCAGAGCCCTTGTCCGAGCCTTCTCCAGACTCCAGGACTGGCCCATGTTCCTCCCCAGCCTCTTCACTGTCCGACTCCGCTGCCAGCTCTGCAGGTTGCTGGCAGACCACAACACTATTATCTCCAAGGAATTGAAATGGATACCTAACATTAGAACCATCATTAAAAGGGCACAACAAAGAATGTTCTTCCTGCGTCAACTCAGAAAGCTCAGATTGCCCAAGGATCTGCTGACACAGTTCGACCGAGGAATTATTGAGTCTGTCATTTGTGCCTCTATAACTGTCTGGTTTGGCACAGCAACCAAACAGGACAGGTATAAACTTCAATGGATAGTTAGGCCGGCAGAAAAAACAATCGTAACCAGCCTGTCTTCCATTGAGGATCTGTATATTGCACGGACCAGAAAGAGAGCTGAGAAAATATCTATAGGCCCCTCACATCCTGGACATAAATTGTTTCAACTTCTCCCCTCAGGACACCGCTGTAGAGCACTGCATGCCAAAACAACCAGACATAAAGATAGTTTTATCCCCCCATGACCCATCACTCTGCTGAAACACTTAATTCCCACAGAACTGTCTCCTTTCTCATCATTCCTAATATCTTCTCCTACTGGTTTCTTATGATTTATCGATTGTTTTTTGTAACTTATGATTAAATTACAAACAACAATTGTCTATGATTATGACCTATGATTTATCACTTGATGTTTTATACACTGTGAGCTTATACACCGGAGACAAATTCTTATGTGTCCGATCACACTTGGCCAATAAAGAATTCTATTATTATATCTATATTATTCTATTATATAGATAGACAGATAGATAATCATCCTAAAATATATTAGATTCCCAATAGCTTAATGAATGCCTTTTCAGTTCTTCTCCCTATATTTTTGTTTGTTCATTTTAGATAGATAAATAGATTAACAGAGTTGGAAGGGACCTTGTAGGTCATCTAGTCCAATCCTCCGCCCAAGCAGGAGACCCTACATCATTTCTGACAGATGGCCGTCCAGTCTCTTCTTGAAAGCTTCCAGTGATGAAGCTCCCACAACTTCTGAAGGCAACTTCTGTTCCATGGGTTGATTATTCTCACTGTCAGAAAAATTCTCCTTATTTCTAAATTGAATCTCTCCTTGATCAGTTTCCATCCATTATTCCTTGTCTGGCCTTCGGGTGCCTTGGAAAATAGCTTGACCCCCTCTTCTCTGTGGCAGCCCCTCAAGTATTGGAACCATGTCTCCACTGGTCCTTCTCTTCACTAGACTAGCCATGTCCAATTTCTGCAACCATTCTTCATATTGTTTTAATTAATTAATTTAATTAATTAGTGGTGGATTTGTCCATCGACTAGACATTATTGGGGAAAAATACAGCAGTGGCTGCTGGAAATAACAGGTGTGAGCTTTCCCCTTCACCCAGACCTCTACTTACTAGGAATAAGACCGGACCACATTGACAACAAGGATTGGTACATATTTGTCCATGTCTCAACAGCGGCGAGAATGGCATTTGCCCAACTGTGGAAAGATGCAGATATGCCCCCTGACCATCTGATAATAAATAAGATTCTTCGATGTGCTGAGATGGACAGGTTAACATATATATTAAAAGATAAGAAAGACTCAATATATAATAAAAGTTGGGACAGATGCTTTGTCTGGCTTAAAAAAAGGTTAAACCTAGGAGATAGGTGATAAGATCGTCTTATTAGATTAAATAGATACTTAATAGGCTATATAATTCTTTATAATTTTGAAAAAAAAACAGGCCAATTGTTTTGTAGATAATTAAAAGAACTTGATTGTATTGAAATGTTTGGTTAGGATGATATTAGTTAATATTAATTGGAGAGTGAGTTTAACTCTCGGTTAGTCATGTTTGTTGTTTCGTTCTAGTCTTGTGTTTATCTGTTCCTACATTTCATTTCTTATATTGTTTTCCAATCATTATTATGTGTTAATTTTACTGTAAATATTTAATAAAGATTTTTTTTTAAAAAAGGAAAATAGCTTGACCCCCTCCTCTCTGTGGCAGCCCCTCAAGTATTGGAACCATGTCTCCGCTGGTCCTTCTCTTCACTAGACTAGCCATGTCCAGTTTCTGCAACCATTCTTCATATTGTTTTAATTAATTAATTTAATTAATTAACAGAATAACAGAGTTGGAAGGGACCTTGGAGGTCTTCTAGTCCAATCCCCTGCTTAGGCAGGAAAACCTACACCACTTCATACAAATGGTTATCCAACATTTTCTTAAAAACTTCCAGTGTTGAAGCAGTGTTCTTCATATATTCTTCATATATTTATTTTATTTGGGGAGAAAG